CGACTTTGTCACAAGCTTTGTCAACTATAATGATCAATTGACAAATGTGTTTACAAAACCCCTGCAAAGTCCCATAACTAATTATATATGTGACAAGCTTGGTGCATTTGACTTATATGCTTAAGCTTGAGGGGGAGTGTTGATATTTGCATATGTTAAGAATATTTGTATATAGAAAAGTCTCACATCGACTATAGCATGTAATTAATTTTGAATATCTCTCTCTCTCTCTCTCTCTCTCTCTCTCTCTCTATATATATATATATATATATATATATATATATATATATATATATATATATATATATATATATATATAAAACAGTCTCCGTAGTGCTATTTAAACATCCAGTTTATTCAAATGTCTCTCATTCTCTTATTTCAAGAGTGTTTTAACGGCTGAGAAGTATGAACACATGAGTTCTGATGGATGATTCCCAGTGAAGCCAAAAACAATTGAAAAGAGATAGACAAATATTCACGAGTGTTATTACTTTGCAAAATTTTAATGTTGGTACCAAATTGTGTGTTTATTTCTAAGCAAAAAGGTTGAAAGATTGAGAATGTATTTGAGCGCTTTTTCATCAAAAATGTCCAAGTGCATCCAGAAAAGTCATCAATAAAAATAACAAAATATTGATAACCCAAACATGTAAGAACACGGCTTGGACCCAAATATCAGAATGAACTAAAGCAAAATGAGACATAGCTCTTTTATTGACTCTGTCAAGAAAGAAACTCCTAGTATGTTTCTAAAACTGACACGACTCGCATTTTAAGGTAGACATTTTTAACAGACTTGGAATCATTAGATGCAGCTTTTGAAGGCTAGGACGTCCCAAACGTTGATGAACAACATGAAAGGACTCAACGGCTGAACAAGAAATAGGCGTTGTCGGTGCTCTACTCCAATCGTCATCCCAATACTCTGATCCCGCACAAGAACACAACCATTAGAAAATGTAGCAGAGTAAGGTAGGGTACGAGTGAGTTTACTGATGGATATTATATTAAATGAACAATCAGGGACATAAAGCACAGAGTCCAAAGAAAGTGTAGTATATGATTTGCTTGGCCAATGTCTTGACATTTGGTTTGTGATCCATTAGGCAAAGTAATACTCGGCAGTGTGTCCATGTAAGTTAAATACAAGAAAAGCAATTTGTTACCAGACATATGATCAGTGGCGCCTGAGTGAAGAATCCAAAGTTCAAGTGAAGAAGACTTTGTAACAAAGACAATAGGATTACCATTATAAGCAACCGGGTCCGGGACAATAGGTGATGTAGTTTGCATTTGTGCCTTCAGCTGGAGTTACTTATTATACTCAGTGGTAGAAAGGGAAATTTGAGCACTTGCGTCAGAGGCTTCAGTTTGAGCAGTATTGGATACTTTTGGCAGCAATCGATTAGCTTTTGTTCGGCATTGTGCCTCAACATGGCTAAAATGGTTGCAATAGCTACAACGAGGCCGAATCCTATTAATTCCACGTCCTCGTCCTCTACCACCTTGTTGATAAGAATTAGAGACGAAAGCAGTAGAGTCATTTTACTCATCGAAAGACGCAGGTGTTGGAGTAGAAGTTGCAGGAGCAGAGAGATGCCATAGTTGCTTGCAAACAATGTCATATGAGGGGACATTTGCACTAGACAAAATTTGGTTTCGGACTGAGTCAAGGTCTGGTATAAGACTGGCAAATGCTAGAACCATAAAGAATTTTCCACGTTGTTCAGCATGTTTGTCGACACTGTCAGTAAAAGGCATAACTACATCAAAATCAGCAATCAATCTATCAAGCTTCCCCACATAGCTTTGCATGCCCATCTCCTCTTTCTTCATGGAAATAAGATTAGAGACAATTACTGATACCATATAAGAAAAATATAGAACAACCCTTGATGAAGCACTAGTGATATACCATATAAGGCTTATGTAAATTATGTGTCTTAATTTAGATCACACTACTTGTATTTATACTAGTGTTACAATAAATACATTGAAGCTTAATGAATAAGCACTAAACTGAAAGTTGTTTAGTCTAGGAATACTATCAATCACTCTAGAATATCTACGATAATAATTAATTCTAACATTAACAATGCTTATCTCTTTGATGTCTCCAACATTCCTTGGTTGCCTTTTCTTTTCCAAAACTTCGGCCATATTTCCTTGTCCTCTACTCTTCCGTAGTTCCGTGACATTTTACAACAAAAATTAAGATGACTTATAAGACTTGCACTTCCAACCACTATATCATGTAAAAGTAACTCTTTAAAGAACGTCACACACTCAAATTATCTAGATAAATTTCTATAATAGATCTGTCATTAAACTGTGAGAAACTTCCCACTCATTTTCACTTTTAGTGAAAGTGTTTTCTCTTGCAATGATACAATTTCCAGAGTTGTATCCTTCCATCGCTTTAACTGTGCCTCCATCGTCCCCATTTCTTTAGATAAAAGACCACGGCAATCACATGAAACTCAGTTTTAATATCTTTTCTTTCTGAAACATGTAATACTGTAAGAAACATACATACACACAACACATCTAAATACTTAAAGTGTGATGATATGCATGCCAGTATTCTGTTTGGCCTCTTCCATCTTAATTTCAACATAATTCATTTCAATAATTGTCAAGGATATGCCATTGCTGCAACTGCAATTGGAGCTCATCATTTCTCATGATATTAGAATTGTCAAGGATACGCCTTGCATTATCACATTTTGCAATGTTAGCCTTTCTAGTCCAACATTGTGTTTTAAAAGAATATGTCAAAGGAGAAGCAACAGATAAAAGTCAATTATAAAAGAAGAAAAAAGTACCACTTTTAACTTGCTGAGACCCCACCAATGATTTATATTGATCCAATTCAGCAAATCAATGTTCAAGTTGATTTTTTGCCAAATAGTATACTCGGAGAAAGTGTACTTAAGTGGAATTGCTTATGGAAATAAAATGCATGAAAATTGACTCTTACATGGAAGGCTAGAATGAACGCGCACTTGAATTACTCTATAGATTATGACCAGATAATCCAAATAGATCTTAAGCCATCTTTTTTGAATTGCCTCCACTTATAAACACATGTTCATGCCATATATTGTCCGATGTGGGGCTCTTAACACACCCCCTCACGCTCAGGAAATTGTGGTTGGGCCTAACTCAACCCTACAAAACCGGTTGGTAGAGTGAGGATTGTCCCCACTTATAAACACATGTTCATGTCATTTGTTGTCCGATGTGGGACTCTTAACACATACCAACTAGTTTTAAGGGTCTAATACATGTGTAAATAGGGAGTGGTGTTTTGTTGGGAGCATTAGTCCATGGCATTTAGTTTTCTGTAGTTTTTTATTACACTGTTTTAGAGAATTCATTCCCTGGTTGAGAGTTACATCAATATTTACACCAACAATTTTTTTTATACTATGCACTTAATTTAGTCAGTATGATTTAGGTATCGATAAAACCTCCATTTTCTCCTCTCTCCTCCACGAAATTGCATCGGTCACCAACGCGGTGACTTCTACTTTATGAACAGTGTCACATGCCCCATCAATATAGCCAGCCAATGTTGCTGGCTTTTGATTGTCACTTACTGCTATACTTTGATCGGTACACATGGTAAAATTTACTACCAAGGGATTCAGTTACCGCTTTTTGCAGTTACCTCTCTTTCATCATTTGAGTTCAAAGAGAAAGACCCTATGTTAAGCAAATCTGTCAAAGGTTTGACAATCTTCCAATAATCCTCTGTAAACCTTTAAGAAAATAGGGGGCGGGGTAATGAAGTCACGTGTCAAGTGAGGGATGGTGGAGTCTTGTGTACAGGAGAAATTTTCTATGGGTAAGAGAAAGAAGTGAGAGTGATGTCGAACTAGATAACATAAAGCCAACTGATTCCAGACATGGGTCTGTATGAAAGGCTTGACTTTGAGAGATCCCCATTCAGTTACGTATAAAATCCAATAGTAGGATTTAACCACAAGAGTTTGTACATGTTATAAAACACATGAACCATTGTGTAATATAGTTTTCTGAAGTTGTTATCTGTAAGATTTATTGTATTCAAATATGCATACCGGTTTAACTGGGGATTCATCACTCTTAATGAGTCAGAGCACCCATCTGAGTCTAATGGCATAATTTTAGGATAGAATATCTCGTTATTTCCTTTCTTCTTTGGTACGTATCACCATAATAGTGTGTAATTACTGAAACATATGTTTCCTTTTTCCTGATTATAATTTATTCCAAGTTTTTTACATTGGTCTCTATAGAGCTTGTACTTGCAAATAATCAGAATCAATATTCCGCTTATTTCCATAGTTTTAATTTCCATGTCTTTAATTGTAATTTTTCATTTGGAAAATTATGGAATTGAATTTCTTTTGTTTGTAAAAATATAATATAGGAATTGATTTGATTTTAAAATCCTTTGGATTCTAGTTTAAGAAAATTAATAAAAATCTATGCAAATTTGGTTGTTTTGAATTGATTTGATTTTATCTTTAAATGATGGAATCAGGATTAAGTATTCACCTCAACTAGCCATGTCATTTAGCCTATTCTAATTTTGACTCATAAAATAAATTACTAATTGCAAATTTAAAATCAATTCAATTACTAGATAAAATCAATTCGGTTACGCTGCAGTTTGGTTGAACAAGAGGTAGGTTCAACTACAATTTATTTTATTTTTTTTTACATATTTTATGTACTTTATTTACTTTTAAAATTAATTAATTTATTTGTCACCCACTTCAACTGTGATAAACCGGTTGAACCATGACCTAGAAGTCTCGCCAGTTTAGTCCCCAATTTAGTCCCCAATTTAGTTTTTAAAACATTGGCATAGATATGACCGGATATAATGTCCTGATATTCATGCAGAGATTTTTTCTACAATTCTGAAGATCTTATTGGCTCTTAAAAATTTGGCTGATTGCTATAAATTAATTGTGTATTGAGAGTTTTTTTTTTAATACTTAAAGGGGAGCTTGACGAGATCGTGGCTGAACTTGAAGAGAGTAGAAGAAAACTAGTCAGTCTGAAAATGCAAAAGGATGCAGCTATGGGAATGAATTCCTCCAGTGCAGATGCAGTGAATGGAAACGTGTCTCCTGAAAAGCCTGCTGACAGAGCCTTGGGTTTGCCTGAGTTGAAGAATTTAATTGAGGAAGCCAAGGTTTTTGTTGAATGATTTTCTCTCCTTTCTTCATTCATTTTCCATTCTCTGTTTAAGATATGCTTGGTTGATGTCATAGATAGTGGATGCTGATCGTCTTTCTGAGCTTCAAGATGCACAGGAAAAAAATCAAATCTTGACAAAGCAGTTCCAAGAACTTCAGGTCGGTATATTTGCGTTATCTGCGATTGTTTTTGACCTAATTTACTGAGTAATTGAGATGCAGTCACTCTAGGTTTCCATGTAAAAGTGACTTTAAATGTGTATTTATTTCCAGAATGAACTGAATGATGATAAATATGTACGCTCTTCCCGAGTATATTCTTTGGCAAATGATCAACTTCAACATTGGAATGCGGAATTGGACCGATATAAATCATTGGTGGAGTCTTTGCAGGTCAATAGTGATTCTTTTTCCTTCTTTTATAATTGATTTTTCATTTGCGAGTTTCTCTGACATATTCTTTTCAAATACAATTTTAGGCTGGAAAGGCTAATATCGCAAAATGGGAGAAGGAGTTGATTCTGAAATTGGAGTCTTGTGATAATGCAAGGCGCGTACTTGACAATTTTGACTCCAGGACTGATGAGCTCGAGCTGCAGTTGAAGAAATGCATTATCGAAAGGAATCATCTTGAAATTAAGATGGAAGAGGCGAAACAGGATACAGGTCTGCATATCACATTTTCTGCACTTAGATTTGCGGTGTGTAAGTTTGAATTTCCTAGTTTCTTACAATATTACATATTTCAGGGAGGAAAGATATCAAAGCTGAGTTTCGTGTGATGGCCTCGGCTTTATCTAAAGAAATGGGGATGATGGAAGCACAATTAAAGCGATGGAAGGATGCTGCTCTTGAAGCTGTATCATTGCGTGAGAAAGCACATTCACTAAGAGCAGAATTGAGTGGGAAGGTTATTTTTCCCTATATTTTCTGTTTTCACCTACTCTCTAATAGGTCTTTTACATGAATTTTTCTTGATAATTTGATTATGTGATGTTCTTTGCATATATACTTTGACTTAGTATAGTGTTGAGAGTCTCCCATTAATGAGACATGGTTTGAAAACATTTTTATAATTGGTAGGGGTTGAGTTAAACTAGAATATCTTTTGTTGATTTACACCTTTTTGAATTTATTGACTTCACAAATCATGTTGGTTGGAATATCCTGCAAGAGGTTATACGGGGGTTCTCATCCTTGAATTAATATACCAGATATACTTTTTAAGCATTAAGGTTTATTGATTCCTTTGTTTTGAAGCAGACAAGCGAACTCGAGAGCCTTGCGAACAAATGTGCCGATCAGGTTTTGGAAATAAAGTCTTCAAAAGCATTGGTAAGTCTACCTTGGCTTTTACCTTGGTGTTTTTCTTTATCTATAGGTATTTTTTTCTTCAATGCCTCTCTTGTATAACGATAATAATAATTTCCATTTTCCTTGAGATTAAATTTAATTGAAATTCACTTATCTTTTACTTCTAAATCATAGAGCATGTCTGTGGCTGAATTAGATTTGACTGCAATATTTTTCTTTTCCATTGTTTTGTGTTTTGCATGTGTATCTGCATTTATATTTTCCATGATTCTCAAACATGCATTATGATTTTAGAGGCCTTCAATATCACTAGAGATACTTTCAGCTAGCACGTGCCAGCTGTGGCATGCAGTTAGCTTCTTTTATAACAGCATGCTGTTAGTTTCTATTATAACTATATACCGTTAGTTTCTGTTATAACAATATACAGTTTGTTTGTTATTAAAGTATACAGTTAGTTTCTGTTATAACAGTATACAGTTAGTTTGTTATTAAAGTATACAGTTAGTTTCTGTTATAACAATATACAGTTAGTTTGTTATAACAGTATACAGTTAGTTTGTTATAACAGTATACAGTTAGTTTCTGTTATACAGTATACAGTTAGTTTCTATTATAACAATGTACAGTTAGTTTCTGTTATAACAATATACAGTTAGTTTCTGTTATAACATTATACAGTTAGTTTCTGTTATAACATTATACAGTTAGTTTGTTATAGTAGTATACAGTTAGTTTCTATTATAACAGTATACAGTTAGTTTCTGTTATAACATATATAGTTAGTTTCTGTTATAACATATACAGTTAGTTTCTGTTATAACATATACAGTTAGTTTCTGTTATAACATATACAGTTAGTTTCTGTTATAACAGTATACAGTTAGTTTCTGTTATAACAATATACAGTTAGAAGTTAGTTCAGCCTAATTACAATTCTACATATAGAGTTGAATCTATTGTATTCAGTAATAATGAAATCATAATAATTGATTCTGAAATTTTCAATAAGGATGGTCTATAAATAATCTTCTAACAACTAATTCAGTTGTTTTGTTACAGATCGAAAAGTTACACCAGGAGAATCAGGAGTTAGAATTTGTTCTGGATATGTATGGCAGGGAGGATTATCAGAAAAGGTATGCTGATTTGAGGGTTGTTCAGTTGTTGCAGAGTTTTGTCTCGTTAATGCAGTTTTTTATCTTGTTTTTCTTAAAGGTTAACTATTAAATGTTTTGTTGCAATTGGAATTAACCGAAGGTTTTATTTCACATTCAAAACAAAATTTTGTTCTTTTCTGTCTACTTGGATAATTCATTCTGAAAAAGCTAAAAACTTGATTTCAGCTTGCCAGAAATTAGAGAATCTGAAAGTAAAGCTCGCTCTCAAGCTGAAATGCTTAAAAATGCTTTAGATGAACATGGTCTAGAGTTGAGAGTAAGAGCTGCTAATGAAGCTGAAGCTGCTTGTGAACAACGGCTGAGAGCCGCAGAAGCTGAAAAAGAGGAGTTAAGGGCCCAGCTTGATGAAACTGAAAGGTTTGTGTTCGTGCATACTACTATACTGATATGGATTTGCTGCATTGACAAACTGGTGGAGAACATCTATTATATTTCTTCCCTTTTTAGTTTCATTTGTTTGGTTTTTTATTTGGAAGTGAATTTTCTGGTGATGAGTAGTGAAAGGTAGACGAGTTAAAAGTTTATGAAGAGTTGAGGACTTTGTTCTTTGGCCGAGATATTATGCTACTTTAGATAGTGTATCCCTTGGGATGTTTGTAAGAGTGGCATTCGAGTTTTTATCACAGAATGACTTTGTCACTAGTTCATTTGGGTCATTTGCCTGTCAAGAACCAATTATTCCTAAACCTACGTTATTCATTTTGTTAGCATCATCTTTCTTTTTTCAAATTGACTGTCTTCATATGATTGGAATTAACGACTTTACAAACTGACTTCTTTTTGTCAATCTGCCTTCTTGACCATGTTTTATATGCCACTATTCAGAAAAAAGTCGGAGCTCGCCGAGGCTATTAAAGTTAAAGAGGCTGAGGCAGAAACCTATATCTCTGAAATTGAGGTTTCCTTTATGACTCCCCTTATTTTTTGTACAGCTGTTGGTGATGGGTTCGCTCTAATTGTCTTCTTATAATACAATAAAATATTTGTGTTGGCTTTTTATATAACAGACATATTTAAATGTTTAAGTATATGTTAGTATGAATGAGTCGAATTTGAAAATATCCGGGCCTATTTGCTTTGCAAAACAGCAATTAGTGATGTGTTTGTTCTAACTGTCTTTTCTTATAATACAAATTAAATGCTTTCCTGTAGACTATTGGTCAAGCATATGAAGATATGCAGACACAGCACCAACATCTGTTGCAGCAGGTGGCTGAGAGGGATGACTATAATATCAAGGTATGTTTTCTTATCACTAGTTATTGTAAATGCTACCTTGCTCTGGTCTTCACCATTTTTCCTTCCACGACTCCTGGAATGCTCCGTTTATTGTGTCGGCTTCTGCAACCCAGTTGATGAAAAATAATTCATCCTCTTTGTAACAAATATATTAATTTTTGCATTCATTTCTACTTAAATAATTTCACTACGAGGTTGTGAGACTTTGTTCTCATCATATTGCAAACTTTATGCAGCTTGTATCAGAAAGCGTGAAGGCAAAACAGTTACATAGCGCATTACTGTCTGAAAAGCAAGCTTTAGCAGATCAACTTAAACAGATTGATTCTTGGATAGAAAATTCAAAGAAAAAGATTGCAAGTGGTGTAGAACAGGTTCTGTTTCTCCTGATGCCTAGCCCCCTACTTATATATTTTATTTTGATATTTCTCCTAACAAGTTTGCTGCTGCTTACTGTTGTAAACAATTATTTGAACCCAACAGATACAGTGTCTTCTATCAGAAGCCGCTAAATGTACTCAAGAGGAAAAACACATTGCAGTGGCCTTAGAGTTTGCCAGGAGGGAATTGGCTGATGCTGAGAAGGAATTGAAGTTGCTCAAGTTTATTGCTTCATCCTCAGAGAAAGAATACGACCAAATTCTGAAAGATGTCGAAGATTTTGAAAAGGAATTGGAAAGTGAAAGGTATTTTCCTCTTTTGACCGTTCAGTAAAGTTTACAATTAAGATCTGTGTTAATGTTATGCATTGATGATAAGGTTGACTTTGGAGAATGATTACCTCATGAAACACCCTCTCAATTGGCTAAACAAATGCTTATCCAATTATGTGATACAGGAGTTCACGGAAGAAGCTTGAGGAAGAACTAGCGGAACTGAATAACCAAATTGCTGAGCTGAAAACTGAAACTGGAGAGACCGCAGTACAACAACTTGAAGAAGAAATAAGAGTTTGCAAGAACATGATCAAGTGTACTGTCTGTTCTGACCGACCAAAGGAGGTAAAAACAGGCCAACTTATCCAACTGCACTTCTTGCTTTTATGTTAAATAAATTAAATAGGAAGTGTTGAAACTTGAAAAAACTTATAACTTTTTGAGCTATGAAGAAAAGCCTGAATAAAACTTATTGCAACAGCATCATCTAAGAGTTTGTTCTGTATTTGGCAGGTTGTGATTTTGAAGTGCTACCATCTGTTCTGCAATCCATGCATACAAAGAAATCTTGAACTACGACACCGCAAATGTCCTGCCTGTGGAACAGCATTTGGACAGAGCGATGTTCGCTTTGTTAAAATTTGAGACTATCTCATCACTCATGTAATGATACCCTGTAGTTTTAGACAAGCTTCTTATCTGATAAGCAATAAATTTTTGGATTATAGACATTGATATTCTTGCACTTGTTTTGTGTATCATTCAAATCGTGCTATTTGTTTTCGGATTAAAAACCATGGTGGCTCATTTTTAGAGGTCTATAGAACATGGTCCCTAAAAATGAGTTTGACAAAAAGGTCTATAATTCAAATTCTGACTATTAACATAATGTTCTTGTAACAAATAGCATTTCTTCTTCTAATAATACAACAACAGCAGAGAGATATTCAATTTTTGGGTCACATGGTTCTTGAAATGGATTAAATAGTTGAGAAAGATTCATTTTTTTTTCTTTTTAGATTTTAATTTATGAGTTTGAACTTTGGATTATGGATTACAATTTAACGGGTTTGGTGTTTCAAATTTTCCTCTCGATGAAGAAACTTAAAAATAAAACTCATCTTAAAACCAATGAATACAAAAATAAACAAAATTACAGTTGTGGTTCTTAATGTTAACTCTAAATTTTATTTTTCTCAATTGTCTTTATATGATATATTTCTTTCGCAGTGTTAGCATTACCCATAGTTTGAATCGAATTGTAGACAATTTAGAATAAAGAAAAAAAGGGTTCATCTAAAATTTGAGAAATTGAATCTCTTTATAAGTTGGAGAAATTGAACCTTTATTTTGAAATTGAATGGCTAAAATGGATTGAGAATTTCTCATTCCACTCTATGGTATAGAAAAGCACCCTATAAAAAATTCAAAATATTTTTTATATTTTGAAGATGCATCTTCAGACGTACTGTTGTACCATCTTATGGCGCATCAAATGAGTGTTATTCTAGAGTAAAACAAAATTTTATTTTGAAGATGCATCTTTGGATACTTTCAACAAATATATTGATATTTTAACAACTTAGTGGATATTTTGGAGACACCAAATGAGTGACATCGCAGAGTAAAATAAAATTTTATTCTGGAGATGCATCTCCAAATATTTTCAACAAATATATTGATATTTGAGTAACTCAGGTGATACGAAGTGCAGAATCTCCTACCTTACAAAGATAATAAAAAAATTGTAAAGTTCGAGTACCGTTTACCATCAATTAACAACGAATGTACGATTGAGTTCAACAACTATGAACTCAAGACAGGTGCAGATGTAAGGGCTACGTGGAATATATTTTTCTGTTTCGAAACAAAAGTTCGATCGAGGTGGAAGTGACGATTTGAAGATCGGTCGAACATATTGTGAAGATGTTGAAACGTCCACCTAGATATTAAAATGTAATGTTTGATTTTATGTTAACATCGCTTATGTAATGCTACTTTTATGTTATAAATGATAATTTTATTTTGTTAAAATACAACTTTTTGATTTTTTTACTTCTGTTTCAGTATGCTACAAAGATGCATCTACGACAAGGTTATAAAAATGCATCTTTGGATCTAAAAAACTCCTAGGGTGTGATTCAAAATTGGCCTAGGGTGTGTGTGTTTAGAATACGTCCAAAAATACATCTTCGAAATCTGAGAACATTTTTGTATGTGGTACCCTAATAATATATAGGGTGCATTACAAAAAATGCCCAAATAAGTTTAATTCTAAATTTATTGGACCATAAGGTATGCTGAAGAAGATAAACTTTGAAAGAGAGATAGGTAATACTTTACCCACCTTAGGGATGCTACTTCACCACGATGAAAAGTTACAATTCTCAATAATTTTTTGAGATGCATATTCAACTACACTCAAATTATACACATTCAATGCTCCATGTTGCAAAATAAAAATGTTTGAAGATATTTCCGTATCCATATTAAAGTTAATTCGGAGGTGTATCTCTTTAACAATCTTTATTTCAAAACTGAAAGAAGTTTACAGATATATATTTGATATACTTTGTTAGCTCAAACCACAATCAGTAACAGATGGATGGAAAAAGTTGACGAAAAGTAAAAATTAATATCAAAATACGTCACATTACATATATAATCGTAACATAAATTTAACATTATATTTTAGTAGGACGTTGCAACATTTTCAAAATATCTTCGATCGATCTCGCAATCTTTGCATCTATCTCGATCGAAATCAGACCTTTTGTTTTATAACGGTGGAATGTAATGCATATAAACCTTAAATCTTCATTTGTCTTCAGCTCAAAGTTATTGAATTTGATCATCCCTTTGTTGTAAATCGAAGGTGAATGATATTCGAGTTTCACAACTCTTCGATTGCTTGAATATTGTAACAATTTTTCAATATAAATTTCAGATCTACAAGAGAGTTGAACTCTATGACCTTAAATTCATGTGAGGTTTCTTTTTCTTTCTCATTGTGTGAGTGCTTCTATGCCTTATCTCCCATCCTTGGTTTCTTTCTCCTTGTAAAAGTTGTTTGTATATCTTTTTATAGTCAATTGAGGTCCTTAGAAATTTGATAACCATCTTAACTAATTTTTTTAAAGGTTAACACTAGAATTAAATACACTTTTTTCAACATTACATACACTTGCATATTTCAATTGAGGCACAACTCTTTCATCATTCTTTTAAAGTTTAACACTAGAATTAAATAGAATGTTCACTTCTTTAAAGCGTAAGTGTTTGAATTTATCAAGCACTTTCCTAACATAGTGTGTTTAACTAAGTTCATAACCCTCACTATTTTGCTTTACTTTGATCTCAAAAAGCGTGTCAATTAGTCCAAGATCATCCATCTTAAATGTGGAAGTTAGAAACCTATTTGTTTCTAAAATTTCATTCATCTCGTTGATAATGATGAATCATATAATAAACATGGAGACAAATGAATATCACAATAGTATGAATTGCAATGTGTACAAATGCTTGTAACAAGAATTAGATGAAGAATTTTTTTAGATAATCTTGCATGATGATGCAAGAAGGTTTTTAGATGAAGCGAGAGATGAAATTCTGAGAAATTTAAAGTAATATAGTATTAATTGCAATGAGTACCTTAATTATGTTCACTTGTCTCAAATATTCACTTGAATTTCTATGTTCAACTTCATCAATGATGTGCGTTGTAAATGTGCCTTAAAACCTTTGTTGATGAAGAGAGAAAATATATTTTTGAGATTGCATTTACCGCAAAAATTGAAAGCTTTAAAAAGTCGGACGAAAAGTCGAGAAAAGGAAAAAAAATCGATAAGCGAATAGTGACATCCGTACGGTGAATAGTACTATCCATATGAATGAATAGTGTTGTCCATACAGTGAATAATGTTTTTGAGTTTTTGGACTTTTTCTGATTTGGTTCATGGATCCATGTGATTTTGAGCTTTGTTTGTTGGGTATTTGCTATTATAAATATGTATCTGTAATATGTTTGATGTGTGATAATCTTAGAGTTTTCATCAAAAAGGAAGAGCAAGGGATACATTTCAGCTATGCACAAAGAAAACTTTGGATTACACCTTGGGTTTGAGTGATTCATATATTGAGAGTTGGAGAGGTAGGGAAACACTTGGAAACCTGAAGGCAAAAGTTATTTTCTTGTAACTCATTTGTAATCTCTTGTAAAAAATTTCTGAGTATAGTGAATTGGAGAACTGCTCTCTCCCCCATAGTAGATCGTTTGATCGAACTAAGTAAACAAACCTTCAATTTTTTTTCTTGCCTTACTCTGTTATATTATCAGTGTACGGATTATTATTGCTGAAGACCATTTATTTTGGTGGCTATTGTTCTTTGCCTCACAAATTGATATTGAATTTTTTCGTAATTCACAACAAGTGGTGCGGTGAGCGTGAAGCAAAGAGATATTGTTGATAAGTGAGCCCCATGGTTAGTAGATGGCAGATCGAAAAAAAATTGGTAACAACGACTTCGGATTATGGAAAATTAAGATGCAAGCAATTTTAATTCAAGAGAAGTGTATTGATGCTTTGAAGAGTGAAACATTGATGTCTGCAGGGCTTACACAAGCACAGAAGACCGAGATGGTGGATAAGGCAAGGAGTGCCATTATCTTGTGCCTTGGAGATAAAGTTCTAAGAGAAGTCGACAGGGAGAAAACTGCAGTTGCTATGTGGAAAAAAATTGAATCATTGTATATGACAAAGTCTTTGGCTCACAGATTGTATCTGAAACAACAACTTTATTCCAAATGGTGGAGATCAAATCCATAGTTGAGCAGCTCATAGAATTTCACAAGATTATAGATGATCTTGAGAATATTGAAATGAATATTGATGTTGAGAACAAGACTTTGCTCCTGTTGAGTTCATTACCCAGATCCTTTGAGCACTTTAAGGATGCCTTCTTTATGGTAAGGAATGTACTATTACTTTGGATGAAGTCCAGACGGCGGTGAAATCCAAAGAAGTTTCAAAGTCGAAAGATTTGAAGATTGAAGACAGTGGTGAAGGCTTAAATGTGTCAAGAAGAGGAGGTGAGTGTAAAGGGATGTACAAATCAAAGAGGTCTAACAAGTCAAAGATAAAATGTTTTAATTGTCAGAAAATCGGTCACTTTAAAAGGGATTATCCTGAAAGAAAGGTCAATGAAGATTCTGTTCAAGTTGTAGTTACATTGGGTGAGGAAAGTTATGAGGATGCTGAAGCACTAATAGTATCGAGTTTGGAAACTGAAGATAGTTGGGTCATTGACTCGGGTTGCTCTTATCACATGTGTCAAAGAATAGAATACTTTGGAACTTTGAAGATGGTGCAAGGTGGAATAGTTCACCTTGGTAATAATAAGGCATGCAAGGTTCATGGTATTGGTACAATCAGATTTAAAATGTTTAAAGATCGTGAACTTCTTATTCACAATGTGAGGTATGTTCCAGAACTCAAGCGAAATTTGTTATCGATAAATATGTTTGATGATCTAGGCTATTGTACTAGAGTTGAACGTGGAGTATTAAAGATTTCGTGTGATAAATTGATTATTGCTAAAGGGTCTAAAATATGTCGTCTATATATTTTAGAAGGTTCAAATATTAT